GTCCTTTGAGCTGTCATTATTCTTGTTACTCAGGATTCTGCTTTGTGGCCTCCTGGAGTTGATTGCAGCCACCAGGTTTTCCTGCAGAGCCAGCTGCTTTTTATGGTCAGAGGAGATAAACAGAGGCTCAATAGGAGATCTATTTCTGGGTGTTGAAAGGGCCTCTGTGCCGCTGGTTAAAGGGAAATCATCCAATGGGCCCTCAAGGAATGCCTTAATGATTTCTCCGAGCTAACCTTCTTATACTGTACCCAATTTAAATAATCCATCAGCTGACAGAAAGAAGACTAAATGTGATCGTGTCCAACTTGGCAATTTAATTTCTAATTTGGCAAGGCCAATACACATGAATTCAATGTGGAATTAATGTTCAGGACAAGACAATATTAATTTAGGGTCCCAATTATGGTGACCCAGAAATGGAAAAGAGTGTATTGATTGGAGCGGGGGTGGGGGGTGGGGGGGAGAGAGAGACAGAGACAGAGACAGAAACAGGGAGATAGAAAGAGACAGAGAGACAGAAAGAGAGAGAAAGAGAGAGAGAGAGAGAGAGAGAGAGAGAGAGAGAGAGAGAGAGAGAAGAGGGAGGAAAGAAGAAAAGTGTCTGCCACAGAGGCAGGCTGGGGGCAGGCAGGAGGAAAACTGGGAACATTGGTGATAGGAAATGTACAATGATGAAGGGAAGGGCAGTTGGTGTGAAACCCAACCATTGACAGTAACTTTGTGTCTCAAGGTGATTCAACTAAAAAAAAAAACCAAAACCAAAATATATAATAATTTTTTTAAAAGAGTGATTTACTTGAGAAAGGGACAAAGGAAATTCACATTAATTGACTATTACTTATGAGTCAAGAAATATTTATTCTCATTGTGTATCAGTTAAAGCAAAATTTATGGAATTGCAAAAGAGGTATTGAATTGCTATAGTTTGACCCCTTATATATTGTTCATCAAGTAACATTTTATAGTATGTTAGTTGGTTCTACCATATTAAAGAAAGGAAATGTGGCTACAGCTAGGTTGAAACCCTGCTGAAGGCTACAGAACAGAGAGCATTAGGATCCAGGCCTAAAGATTTCTGATTTGTAGTAGGCCAATGGTGTGATTGATAAAACTTCTGGCTATGGACCAGAAAATTATTGACCCCTGAATCAATATTCAACTCGCTATCCCAGCCACCTTATTTATATGATATGATTTTCTTAATCATGAATGCAAGTCAAGCTGGAGCGATAGTACAGCAGCTAGGGCATTTGCCTTGAATGCAGCTGACCCATTTCCATCCCTAGCATCCCATATGGATCCTCCAGCATGGCGAGATGCAATTCCTGAGTGCAGAGCCAGGAATAATCATCACTGGGTGTGACCCAAAAAGAAAAAAAAAAAAAAAGAGAGAGAGAATTCAAGTCAAGGACAAAATGTATAATAGTAGCAAGAAAAATTTTTATAGTGACCTTTTGGTATATATCACTTTATTTAAAAATTTTTATTATATTTTAGGTGGTATGGTTATAATGGTGTTAAACTTAATGATATTGAGGTACAAACTACACATCACCATTACCAAAGTGCTCATGACCTTTCAGCGCTATCTCTGTGACCCCTGCTTGTTTCCATCCCCCAAACCCCCAGTTCTTCCTCCATTGTTTGCTAATAAGTTTTATAAGCCAAGGTCAAGGGTTTGTCATTATTTAGTACTGTCAGTTTCTTTATTTTTTTTCTCTATTCTCTGAGATGAGTGCGATTACCTCGTGTTTATTCTACTTCTGACTTACTTTGCTTAGTATAATACCTTCCAGTTGCATCCACATTACAGTAAAGTAGCATACACTCATCTTTTCTTTTCCTTTTTTCTTTTTCTTTTTGAGTCACACCCAGTGCACAGGGGTCACTCCTGGCTCTTCACTCAGGAATTACTCCTGGTGGTGCTCGGGGGACAATATGGGATGCTGGGAATCAACCCAGGCCGGCCTTTGCAAGGCAAACGTCCTACTCGCTGTACTATCGCTCCAGCCCCTCTTCTTCTCTTATAGCTGTGTAATATTCATTGTGTATATATGCTACAATTTCTTAATCCATTCATATATTGTTGGATATTCTGTGACTTTGTATCCTGGCTATTGTGCTAAGTACTGTGATGACATAGGTATACGTATATATCTTTTCCAGTGAAAGTTATTTTGTGTTTTGACAGTGATTTTTATGTCCAAGGCAAGACTTCTTGTGGCCATAAAGACATTTTGGGACTTTTCCACTATCATTTATAGATCACACACACACACACACACACACACACACACACACACACACACACAGAGAGAGAGAGAGAGAGAGAGAGAGAGAGAAAATACCTAATAAAAAGAGACAAATATTTCATCCCAGCTCAAGGAACAATTATGCTACACAAATACTTTTCGAATACATTGGGATTTATTTATATTTCTATTTAATAACTGGTTAGAATTATATTAGGCTAGTCTTCATGAGTAGGCTTTTAATTTCATATATTGTATATTTCGTGTGTGTGTGTGTGTGTGTGTGTTTGGGCCACACCTGGCTCTGCACTAAGAAATCACTTCCTGCCCTACCAATTGTACTCTCTCTCCAGCCCTTAATTTCATATTTTAATGTAAGATGTAGTCTTTTTTTGGGCATTGTACCAAGAAATTAAACATTTTTTAAAAGGAAATCAGTTAAATTATAGTCAAAGGAGAATCTGTCTATTATGCAGTTGGTACTGTGCAGAGCCAGGCTTTCAGCCCCACCCCTGCCCCATCTCTTGCAATTATCAACACTCCCTTTTACTCCCCCTCATCAGCCTCCTATCCCTGTAGGCAGGCAGGTAAGAAGGGAAGAAAGCAAGCCAGCCACATCGCTCCTTTGCTTACAATCTCCAGTGGATCTCCTATTCCTCAAGGCAAATCTAAATGCCATTAGTTTATACATATACACTTCTGCAATCAGACCCTCTGGCCTACCTTATTTCATATTATCATTTCTTCTTCTTCTTCTGGAATATGATAGCAAGAAGATTCTGTTTCAATTTAATCAAGAATTCCAGTCCTCATGGTTCCCCAAACTGCCTATCCTTCACCACAGCTAAATAAGGAAATTTTGGAGTCTAAGACTCTAGCATGCTATTCCAACATCTCCAAACAACTCCGTGATAACAGCGGCATAGCCCACAATTAAACTCAATTCTGACACTATTTATCTGGAGATGGAATAAGGTCCCACAGTTTAAGAGGTCAATCCTATAAAACTGATGGAGCTGCAAAATCTTCAAGTGTTACAGATTGTAATTTTTCAGCCAAAAAGAATATGTGAGGGCTTACAGAGAGAGCTTAATAGTCTAAACACATGCTTTCCATGCAGGAGGTCTGGGTTCAGTCTCCTGTCATCTGATGGTCCCTCAGCACTGTCAGGAATGACCACCCCTCACCCATCAGGCACTAAGTCAGGAATAGCCTCTGAATACTTCTGGGTGTGATCCAAAACCAACCACTGTCACTGTCACTGCTACTGTCTGTTCATCGAATTTCTCGAGCAGGCCCAGTAATATCTCCATTGTGAGACTTGTTGTTACTATGTTTGGCATATCAAATACGTCACGGGTAGCTTGCCAGGCCAAGCAAACAAAAAAATGTACCCAGATTTTTCAGAATCTTAGAATATAGCCTTATTCAGCAATAGGGTCTTTACAAAGGAGGTGTCAAGCAGAAATGAGGTCATAATTCAGTAAGATGTCTTTGACAAGGAGAGACATGTGTATGGATCAGCAAGCACTCAGTGAGAAGCTGACCTTGCCTCTAGAACAATGTTCCCTGAAGTCAGAGATCCCAGCCCCAGGGGTGCTAGGAGGATGGGTGTGACTGTCACTTCAGGGCAACCTGGCAAATGGGGGGATGGGTGGGGGAACTGTTTATTTACCTTTCCCAGAGGGGTGTGGTTTCCAGAGGGGTGTGAGGGGGACCTTTTTTTTTTTCTTTCCTGCAAAGTGGGCTGTAGGCCAAGCACGTTTGGGAACCTCTGAGAGTGTTGCTTTGGCATGCCAAGCAATGCCAAAGATTGCTGGCAAACAGTCTGAGACTCGAAGGAACAAGGAAGGATTCATACCTAGAACTGTCATCAGGGTGAGCATGGATCCCAAGACACTTGGATGTCAAAGTTCCATCCTCTGGGACAGTGAGACAATCCACATGTGAAGCGTCAACTCACAAGATTTTCTTTTCCAGAGGGGGATGACATAGCTCTAGAAGTTCTTTGGCTCATATTCCACAGCTATGCTATTAAAGAGAGACAGGCTTTCTTTGATCTCAAGTATAAAAATCCTAGGAAGAAGTTTAAATTGGTTTCCACTATCTCAGTTGCCCAGTGATAAACTTAATAGCATTTATTCATAGAACTTATCATCATGAATAAGAAAAGATGGCAAACCCCAAGTGAAAGCTCGTTGCATGAATGCAAAAATTACTCAGAGGAAAACTGATAACAGAAAGTATAAACAGATGATAATTGATCAAAATGTTTAAGAAATATGCTTAATAAGAGTGAGCATGCCAAACATTATCCATTAAAATAATTTGGCCTTTGGAAGGCATCTTTATCACATCCCTGACATTATGTTTAGAGATAAGACTAAATTAGCACTTTCTGTTCCTTGTGAGAGATAAAGGAATCATGTTGTTTTGACCAACACAAAAGTTACTAATAGTGATAAAAACCAAGATTTCCTGAAAGCTTAAGAGTAAAGTACTAATTTAAGTTATTTATTTCTTTTAAAACTCCGTTTAATCTCTGTAAACTACCCCGAGAGACACATACCATTATCCTCATTTTACAGAAGAGAAAACTGAGCCACAGAGGGAAAGAAACTCACCTGAGGTAACAAGAGCTAGTAAAGTTGGGGTTTGAATACAGAAGGCCAGTTGCAAAGCTATTTTCTTCACAAACCCATCTCTCAGCTGTAGTCTGGCCTACTTTAAGTTTCACACCTTATCATCTAGTTTTTAATCAGATAGGGTGTTTTGAGCCCTAATCACACAGAGATGTTAATCATAAATTATGTGCATGCCAATCATTGTTCTATTTGCCCTCTGACTAGAGGAACAGGTAGGAATTATCCTATCTAGTTTACTTTACTACCAAACTCCCCTTAGGACCTTGTCTAACCACCAGCTGAAGTAATCTAACATGTTTTGTCATCCCAGAGAATTTCTTCCCCTTTGTCAGTCATTAATCAACCCCTTGCCTGAGAGTACCCAGAGTTGTACTTCTATAACTGTTAATTTATTTTGCCTGTCCTTGATCACTGTATTTTCCCTTCGGTGCACTGACTTCATTTGCTCAACACGTGTAAGATTTAATTTTTGAATTGTTTTATAATTTAAGACCCAGAGACTATAAAACCGAGCTCCCGGAAGAGAACAGCACAGAGTCTCCACCCCTGCACCTGACTGTCCTCACCGGGGCCTCTTGGAGGGGTGCGGGTTGAGTTTCCCTCCCAGCCCCAAGCAGAGCCCCAGCAGCTGAAGACCTCCAGAACCAGTCACAGCCATGCTTAAGACCACTCTCCACACGTTCGGATGAGCCTCACGCATGAAGGAACCAGCAGAGGAACCCAGGCAGGCAGGACCTGGGGCTGAGATCGCCAAGCCTGCTTGGAACGGGACGGGTCCTCCTTCATACATATCCCCCATCTTCCAGTAGGTAGGCATTATACCCACCAACTGCCCCCAGCACCATGTTATCCCATCAATGGCCAAGACCCAGAGACTATAAAACCCAGCTCCTGGAAGCATGTGGCCGCATTTGCAGCCACATGACCTCTTATTATCTTATTCTTGGAGAACCCGACAGGCTAATGAGAGTACCCTGCCCACACGAGAGTCTGGCAAACTCCTTATGGCGTATTCGATATGCCAAAACCCAGTAACAATAATGGGTCTCATTCCCCTGACCCTGAAAGAGCCTCGAATGTGGCACTTGCTAAAATCTCAGGCTGGGGGCTGGGGCGATTGCACAGTGGGTAGGGCATTTGCCTTGCAAGTGGCCGACCTGGGTTCAATTTCCAGCATCCCATATGGTCCCCTGAGCACTGCCGGGGGTAATTCCTGAGTGCAGAGCCAGGAGTAACCCCTGAGCATCACCAGGTGTGACCCATAAAGCAATCAATCAATCAATCAATCAATAAATCACTGTCACTGTCCTCCCGTTGTTCATCGATTTGCTTGAGTGGGCCCAGTAACGTCTTCATTGTGACAACTGTTACTGTCTTTAGAATATCAAATATGTCACGGGTAGCTTGCCAGGCTTTGCCGTGCGGGCAAGATACTTTCGGTAGCTTGCCGGGCTCTCTGAACTCAGGTCGGCCATGTTGGACGCTTGCAAGGCAAACGCCCTACCCGCTGTGCTATCGCTCCAGCCCAATACATAAATAATTAAAAAATCTCAGGGCTAGAACGAAGGAGAGACGTTACTGGTGCCTGCTCGAGGAAATCAATGAACAACTATGACAGTGATAGTGAATTTTATAAATTTTAATAAAAAAATAAAAAAAAACTCCAATCTCATTTTTCTCAAATATTCTATGCTATTAATATTTGATGTTACACTTAATATTGGCAAGAGTTCATTTTTGGGGTTCACATTTTGGTGGACTTGGGTGCTCAGGGGAGCATGCAGTGCTGGGTATGAAACCCAGCGTGCACAGTATGTGCAATTTTTTAAACTATCTTCCCAGACTTCCTGTAACAATTTTACACATATACTTTGGTCAACAATTGTTATTCTCCTTGGTGCAGATCTAAAGAAACAATTGATAGGTTAGAGGCCAGTGCTGATAGTACAATGAGTAGGGTGTCGACCTGGGTTCAATCCCCAGCATCCTGTATGGTCCCCCAAGCATTGCTAGTAGTAATTCCTGAGTGAAGAGCCAGGAGTAACCCCTAAGCCCCTGGGTGTGACCCCCTCCCCCAAAGAAATCCCAAAAAACCCAATTGATAGGTTAGAGGGAAATATTATAAATACATTCAGGTTTGAGGGTACAGTAATTTTGACTTTTCCCACTGCTGTAAAGGCCCCTTTGTTTGAAGAACCACCACTTTAGGCCACATCCTATTTCCACCTTAATGTATTAGCTTGCCACAAGAGGGTACTTCCTGTCTCTGTGCATGGACTGAGGGCAGGACAGATCTTCATCATTCTGACATTTGCCTCAAAACATGCCACAGCAATATGACACAATCTACCTGCCAAAATAATATTCATGAATTTCCATTGATTTCCACATCTCCAGTCTTATATTTGGGTGCAAAAACAAGAACTCTTTCCCAATTTACTCTACACATGTAATTTTGATATTGTAAAATTTCACCCCCTACTATGTTAAATTCCCAATCTATTGTAAAAGAGACAAAAGTCTTCTCTTTTAAATATCTTTATTAGGCATTGCTAGATGATGATGCATGATGTTTTGCACACATCATGCAAGTAAACAGCACTCCACAGAAATCCATACAACAGCTTATAGTAAGTGTCCAAAGAGCTGATCACCACAATAGTTTCCATCCAAGTAGAGTGTCATTAAATCCTTCCACGAAATCACATCTCATAATCAATTACATTTCCATTTAAAAACCAAAAAACCAACAAACAAAAATAAGCCAATCACAACAACAGGTATAGGGACATTACTACAAAATCAGACTCCCAAATAGCACATGGTATCCATCTTTTGAAAGACTTGCCCCTGAAATTTGTGTGATCTGAAACTTGGGTTGCTTTTACTGCCAGCAGCAAATGAGACTGTGTTTACTATGAAGGAACAGAACAATGACACATGTCCACTGAAAATTCTTGAGGTAATAGATTTTTAAATTTACTGTTTAAAAAACAAAACAAAACAAAAAATTCCGCTAATTTCCAGGTCCTATCCAGCAGGACATATCTATTGGCAGGAAGATTTCTTTTACATTTTTTCCTTGTCAAATATTTACACATATTTGCATATACAACCTGTGTCTTTGTCTTTTCTAAGTATATGATTTATTTTAATTATTCGTCATACATTCATCAGGAAATGTTGAATTATATACTATGGTACATAAAAGAATACAACAAAACCAGCTTCTTGTATAAAGCTAAAACAAAAGGCACAGATGAAGAGCAAAGTGAAATCTAGTGAAAAATTATGGCTTGATGTCAATAAAGCCGAATGTAATGGAGCTACTACATATAAATAGCAAACACCACGGGTCTGCTTCTATGTGGAAGTACATTACAGATAAATATTGCCAAAGACAAGTTGTAAGTACCATATAATTATTTTAATTGCTTCTTTAAAATGTATTTTTTGTCTTAATGGATAACAATTGAAAACCATTTCAATTCAGTAGTCAACCTTAAAAATCACATACTTTTCTTGTGGCATCAAAACACATTTCAATTCATGGTGTTTAAGATCTTGTTTTTATACTAGTTTAGAAACGAACAACGAACTTCAGGAAACTGCATTGGCCAACCTGCTATTCTAGAGATAACAGTGGGTAGTAAATGTAGCCAATATATTTCGCTAACGATACTGTTTCATCAGCACTTTAAATAGAGGGACCAAGAAATACTCACATAAAATATATGGCTCTTTAAATAAGAAATAAAGTCAAGTGAAAAAAAATAAGGCACTAATAACACATATGTTACATACTCTCATCGCACACACACAAAGCACCATATGGAAGGTTGAAAGGGCTATACATTAGTGTTGTTGGAAATGGGACTAACCCAATTTCCCTGGCTTTTATTCACCATTTTCTTCCTTTTATTTTAATAATTAAAGTACAAACACTAAAACGGTGGTGGTGGTAGGATATATACTATTCTAAAACAACAATCCACGGAATCAATAGCATGAACTCATTATACAGAAACAAGCCTAATAATGTTCTTCCTTTCAATAATTAATGTATAAACACTAAAATGGTGATGATGGGAGATATACTTTGCTAAAACCACAATTCATGGAATCAATAGCTTGAACAATTATTCAGAAACAAGTCTAATAATGTAAGGAATTAAGGTCTCCAATAATTTTTTCCAACATTTTCATCACAACAAAATTATTTTCTTTCCAATTTTCTTTCAGTAATTTACATAAATATTTCAATGTTGTTTTATATTCTTTTTTTGTCTGCCTTTCTTCAAATATTTTCAAAATGGTTTCTTTCACAGAGTGTTATGAACACCAAAGTTAGTTAAGGTATAATTAAATATAAACTTTCATAAATATATTCAAATATAATTTTAATAAGTAAAGCAAATCTTTTTAACTGGGCTCATTTTAAACATTTAAAGAAAACAACTTATTTGAAAAATGGCTTTGATTACAGAAAAAAAGTATACAAAAACTGTAAACTATGAATAATATGTGGTTTAAAATATTACTGAAAATTCATTTATCTCGTAATTAAGAAATTTATCCTTTTTTCATTGGACAAAGAATATAATTAAAATGGAATATGTTCTGATAAATGGGCAATGACAATTATTCCTTAAAACTGTAATTTCTGAATATTTAAGAGATTGAATACCCAAGTTTTTATTAGCATTTTACATTCTTTGTGAAAAAGAATGTGAATAATCAAATCGTCTCACTATTTTGTAATATATATGTATAAATATAGTTCATGTCTATGTCTTGTAATCACCTGTATTTAAAACAGAAATCAAGTAACTAACGTTTGTGCCTTCTTCATGTGTCAACATACCAACATTTTAGTGGCACTATTTTTTGTGTTCCTGTTTACAAAATTATTTATATAATTTAATAATTTACCACTTATTGTGTTAATAATTTATTTCATAAGAAATGATTGTCATTTTCAAATTAAAATTCTGTAATGGATTATCCTTGTTAAGATAGATGTCTATAAATTGCTGTTCTTGGTTTCATATTAATTTTCTTAAAGAAACATAAAATGTTATCTCTATAAACTAAGAGAATTCAAGTATTTCAATCAAATATTTTGATAAAATTTACTTGAAATAAAAAATTATATTTGGACATAGAGAAAGTAATCTGAAAAGAAAATAGAATTAATGAAAAATATTATTTCTAATAATTTGCTTGAATTATGGAGAACACTTCTTTGCCGGGTACTAAATAAACACCTGACAATTTTGCAGAAATTGAATAACTTGGCACTGTAAAAAAGAATCTGAAATGCCATTATTTTGGCAATTTTTGGGGTCCCCTTATACCAAAGTGTGACTCTCTCTTGAACCTTTTTCTGTATTATGTACTAAGCCTTTATAAAACATATCCTGAGGGTGGCTTATATCTAAATCATAACAATGACAAAGTTGAACATTTGCAAATGATTAACCATTTCACTGAAATAAGGCTAATACCAGTAACAATCAATTTAATCTAACAGATAATAAGTCTAATATCAAAATTCACAGAATATGAATCCCATGGTTGAATTATATATACAAATGCTACACAATAAAAGTTCAGACCAAGGTCAAGCTGAGTCTTTCTGTTGAAATAGAGACCATAAATTATATATTTGGCCATTTTGGGTAAGTCATGAAAGAATTGGGACAAGGTTAGATGAATGTCTACACTTGCTTGTTATCCAATTAATATCCAAACTTAATATTGCAATTTTTAAGGCTGGTCTTAGAATATTATTAGGCTTTTTCATTCAACTGACATCTTTCAACATGTGGGCTAGATAGAGTTCTCCAACACCTATTAAGAAGAGGGTTGGCATTCCAAGGACTCCTGATCCATTTTATTTTAGAGATAAACCAAGGGAAATTATGTTACTGCTATAGTCAAATAATGGAGCCCTTTCAGCTTTTAAATTTCACTTTATTACAGTTAAAGTGTTAATGGTGAAACAGAATTTATTCCAAACTTGGCCAAGATGCGAGGAGGTTTGCAGAGATAAAAAATAAGATAGGCAAGAAATGTGACAATGTTGAAGAGATGATTACAAGCAAGGAAGAAAGTAATTGAATGTTAATGATAGAAAGGGTGAAAAAAGTGTTAGACCAGAAAAATGAAATACATTCTATGTTTATTAATCTGTTTAATCAAAATGATGCACAGATACATACTCAATGCAATTTCTTCTGTAAATTTAAAGGAAGGTAAAAAAATAAAAATAAAAAGGGGGACTGGCAAAATTTTACGGGTGTTTATTAAACGATGCATTGCCTTTAAAGCCCATTTGTTCCTGTTTCAGTCAAAAGATTATCTCTGTAATTGGCACTATTATCAGGGTTCTAGAAGGAACGTGATAACTGAAGATTTCAATTAAGGTTCTAAACAGACAAGTCTTCAACTTCTGGACTCTTTCTGCTTTCTGGATTAGGTTATAACCAACTCAGTTCCAGCTGTACAAGTGATATAAAATAGAAGTCAGAATACAACAGCCGGGTATGAAATGAATATTAATTCTAGCCTTAAAAATGAAAGTTACAAATTAGTTTCACTGAATTTCTTTTAAAGGTCTGCATTATAAGTTCTAATAACTAACATTTCATAATCTTGAATACTCCTCCAAATTTGGAATTTTGATTTTGTTCAGATCATACCATCATACTTCTATAAAATTATTTCTGTTGTTTTAAAAAAATCAATGTGGACATACATATTAAAAACCAAATTTTAGTACTTATTTTCCAAAGCACAGGAAAATATTATAATTATAGTTATATGAAAACCAAATATTTTTAAACCAATGGTAAATTTTTAGATACAATATTTGTAGCCAGTTGATTATTTTAAAGAATTTTATAAAATAGAAAATTATAGGTAAAATTTACTTAATCTTTTAAGCAAATATCCCAAGAAAGTTATTAGGTAAAATTAATTATTTGCTATGTTTGTGCTCCAGACATGGACTTCAGGTACTAGTTTCCAAGTATGTTTCATTTCTTTTGAATGATCTGCTTTATATTTTCCCTTCCTCAAACTGAAATAGGGAAACTGAAGTATTTTCCCCCAAATATATATATGGAAACACCATTAATATATATCTCCATCAAAAAACACCTATCAGTTTTCTTAACTGTCAAATGTCATAAATAGCACACATAATTTAAAGTGCATTATTGAATTTTAAGGCTATGCTTACAACGGCTATTAACACAAAATAATAAAGATGACCACAGGAAAAATGACCTTCAATAGTTGGGGTAGGATTCAACTGCAAGTACAAAAAGATAAGCCTAAAAATCCAATGTGAAGACTCACATTAAGGCATATGTGCAACTTGTTTATAAGTTTAAATCCAAAATAGAATTTGGCATGGATTTCTAAATTTTGTAGTTAACGGAATATACCAATGCTTTTTAGGCCACTAATTTTTTAAAAAATAATAACCATGAATTTAATAGGCAGCATAAAAATCTGTTACAAACAGTTGTGTTTGTTTAATGGGGAGAAACTGAATGAATCTCACGTGCAAAGACAAAGGCCAGCAAGGAAGGTCAGAAAAAATGAGATTTTATATTACAACAGTTTTTCATCTCTCCTCTCTCTCACCCTCTCTGTGTGAAGAGGAGCTTACAGTAAGAGCATCAGGGAATGGAGAAAATGGTTTGGGGTGGGTAACCAAGGACTAGAAAGGGTTACAGTGGTTTGTAGGTGTTTAGGGGAAGCCCTGAGCCAGATATTCTATTTGGGTGTTAGGGTTCAAAGATAAAGGCTCAACTGGACCCTTGAGACTCACAACATGGTGAGTGGCACAGGACAGGAAATTTCTTGACAGGCATCACTGGATCCTGACACTACAGTACAATTAAATGAATCAGATTTCAACAGTAACTATCTTTGATTATTTTCCTGTCTGTTTTACCTTTAAGATACAGTAGCACCTATCAGAAAATCCAGGTGGTGGCAACAGAATGTTGCTTGTACCAAAAGGTTTATCCCTCTTTTTTTTTCAAGTCTGCCAATAAAAGTTCCAAGGAAACCAACAGAATTTATGGTAAAATAAATGCTTCATGTTAGTCCATCATTTTAAGTATCCCCAAACAAACCATCAGACCTCCCATGAATCTAACTTATTTTTCTATGGATATTTGTTGACACTCATAATTGCCAACATACCGCTTCTTTGTTTTTACAAAAGCCTAATTAAGTACTTTTGTGAAGCAACATGCATGAACATGGATAATGGTGTTAAAAATGTGACAAACACAAACATGATTATTTCATTTATTGACTATTCTTTTCCTTCCTTTCTTTCTTTTTTTTCTCTTTTTTTTTTTTTTGCGGATGAGGTGCCTCCCAGTGATGCTTGACCCAGTGATGACAGATGTTAAATGTTCAGGCCAGATAATGAGGCCTGGCTGTTTATTTCTATCACTCAAAGATTAACATACGGAAATCCAATGGCAATGAATATTTACTGTGTAGAATGTATTTGCATAATTGTGTTTTACTGTTACTGGAAGACGATACAATTTTAAATACATTTTGGCCTGATATTTATTTGGCTAATCAACCAGGAGTGAAATCATCTTGCAAAAGGAGTGTCTTTAAAAATCAGGCACTTCTAAGACCTGAGAGTGCTTCATGAAGTCCTGAGTTTGATGAGCAATATGACCTGGCTCACTTTTGGCTGTGGCCCTGGGGACCCAGCACTCTTGGGCCTGATCACAATATCGCCCCAAGCAGGACTACTGCACTGCCAGGGCCAAGAACAGCTGGCTGCAGGCTCAGGGCCTCTGGGCTTCACTGGGTAGCACCCTCTCCCCGTCTAACACACACACAAAATCATCCACTTCCTCCACTATGAACTGTCCCTTTTCACTGAGAAACAGGTTTGAATACATTCTCTTTATAATGTTTTTCACTGAAATTCACTAACGTTTTATTATGATTATCTTATAAAAATCAAAATCTGAAAATTTACGAAAACATTCACATGAAATGACAAAATATATTTAGAGGACCTTCACTGATGTTTTGTAACAAATAAGTGAAACTGATCTTGATGTCCATTTAATAGGGAACAAATTTACAAATATAAATTAGGAATTTGTTTTACAAATATAAATCTGTAAAACAAATTTAATTCCAGCCCTGCAATACAATATGGAGCAATATATAAAAGAATAATACATATCTATTTAAACTCTTATGGAAAGGTGTTTATCAATATAAAATAAGATAAAAAAGTCACAAGACATAATATTGTTATTAGTTTGTATAAAACTAATACAGAGACACATGTACCATATACACACTTACTTTCTGTATGCTTGTAGAAAGTGTCTGGAAGGAAAAACACCAAATAGTAACAGAGGTAACCCCTAAAAAAATAAGGGGTAGGGTAAACAGAGGAATTTGTATTTTAAAATTCTATAAGCTTGATTTTTAAATGGAGTTTATATTAAATTTACAGTAAAAACATAAAAATGATAAGATTTAGCTAGAAAGATATTTATCTTATGTGTACACTTCTTTTTCTAAGGTAGTTTGTAGAATCTGTCCACCCCCCCACTCCCATCCCCATTTTATTACAACTGTTTTACACCTTTAATGTTGGCACTGTCATATAAATAACACTTTTTTAAAACTTCCCCCTCTTTTTATGATCGTGATGATGATGTAAAAATATAATTATTTCAAGTCACTGGCAGGGAAAGGGGGAAGGCCTAATACATACATATATATATATCAACTTTTAAGAGAAAAATGCATGTTAATTAAGAAAATCTCTACAATAGAAAAGTGAAAATCCTGTGCAACACTGTGCATCCTATTTCAAGCGTTGACGAAACAGACTTCACTGACAAGAGACGTTCCTCTGTAACTGGAAAATTGGAACATTTCCAAATAATATAAAAATATCTCCAAAAGATAAGTTATTCAAAGAAAGGAATAAAAATCCCTGAGTAGGCCAAAGACATCAGATGACAATAACCTAAGAAAATAAAATAGATTCTCTAAGACCAGAGAATATATTATTTAGCTATTTTGTATACATGTGGGATATGTATTCATATTTATACACTAACATGTATAAATACATACACATATATCACATATGAGCATATTCACTAATTTAGTAATCACCACATTCATATTATTGTCAAACTAATGCCTAAATCAGAGAGGACGAATTTATCAAAATTAAACACTCTTAACAACAGAAATACATGGAGTTTAGCTAGAAAGTCTTGCTTCAGTTTTAGTACTAGAGCATGTAGTATAGGCACTCGGTAAATATTTTGTCAAATGGATGGGTGGATAAACGAAAAGATGAACTTGTGAAGCTAGAGCATTACTCTTTCTTGCACCACATCATGGTTTAGAAATACACCATTCCAGAGTGATTAAGCGCATACCCTAGTCTATCTGGAAAAAGACTAGCACAGAAGCTGTAGTACATTGATTCTGAGCATGATTCAGAAAAATGCACATGTGCTGGCTAGTTATCCATGCAAGTAAACTTCCACTATCATGGCCTTCTAAAGTAAAACAAAATGATAAATATTCCTAGAGTCTGGAGCCCACTAAAACAAATGATCCATGTTAATGCATGTCTTATCACAATATATTTCAAGTCTGACAAGATTGAAGACAGATGATACATCTATGGCAAACAATTAATTTCAAGGATTAGGAAACAATTGGAGACATTAGGCTTCTTAGGGTCTTTACATCCTTTCTGTTATCAACTTTTGTGATGGAAACAGGAAAGAGGTGTTATCTGCTTTTTCTTGTATTTTAAAAGACATCAATTTGATAAACTTTCTGAAAATATTTCCTTCACTACTTTTGTTTTCTTTTCCTAAAATTATGTTTTAGATAAGCCCATGAACAAATTATATGCATATATATTTTGAAAACATCTTGTTTTCAATATATATATATCTCCCCCCAAAGGAAGAAACCAACACATTATGCATTTGAGCAGTAAGCATAAGAAAATAAATTTCAAAACTAGCATTTGTTTTCAGGAAAAACAAGAAAGAAAAAAAAGCTGGGAAAGTGGGTTATTGAATATTACACCTTGACCTAGTACAGAATTATCTGCCACAGTAAATTGGTTTAGAAACAATATCAAAAGAGGGATTGTTTAAAAGGTTAACCAAATTAACCTTTTTGCTTAAATTTATCTAGTCTGAAGGATTTATTTAATATATTTAAGCAGGTATGCTAAAATACATGAAATACGAAGACTGAACATTTATATCTTAAGAATTTCCTAAAAGCCATCTCTCATTTTTAGCCTTATAGTTGGATAATCCTTGAAGTGACACTGCATGAATTTCTCTGCGTGTATGTAGGAAAAGGAGGGAGAGAAAGAAATAGAAAGGATAAACATTGAAATAGCCTGTGCCTACATTGGTTTGAATTCTTTATATTAACAGGTTATGCCCACAAAGGAAACATCATCTTTAACTATGGCCACAAAACCATGGAAATATTGTGTAAAGGCATGGAACTTGACAAGTGCAAGGTTATCGGGCCTCAGTTTAATATAGCTATTTATATACACACATTTATACCCCACACATAAACACTTCAGTAACTCAAGATTCTTCTCATTAATTTAGTTTCATTAGTTCCCTTTTGGGCATGTTTAACAAGCATAACATCTGAAGGATGAAGGAATTAAACTGCTTGGGGCACAGATGAAAATAGGTGCAAATGATGAGCCTTTATCTTCTTACAAGTGGCTCTCTCTGTTTGCTGGTACAGGTGGGACTTCTGCTACTCACACCTAGTCTCAGAAGATGGCCTGGAGGGAGGTGCAAGTACAAAGACTGTCCAAGCAATGCTCAGAGAGTTCAGAGGATAAGTGGTTCCTAGTTAAACTATTTTCTTCCAAGAACCGTTAAGAAAGTCAGAGTTATGATACAGATGTTTATAGTCTACGAAAGTGACCGTTTTCATTAGAAGCAGCAATCTGTGGAAGAAAAGGACAGGATATCAAGGTTGGGAGTGCACCGGTGCTAGAGGCATTGTGGTCTGCAGAGAACCACAGGGAGGCGAGATACAGAAGATTCCTCTCGGTGTTTTTCAAGATTTGGCTTTCAGACAGTGCCCCGTTCTGTAAGGCTCCCACTCCAACCAGCTCAGGCAGATGAAAGCTGTTGCAAATTTCACCAGTGCATAGCTGTCCGTGAACGTTTTCTCTGTTTTTTACAAAGGCAATAGATAGGAAATACAAATAAACCTGGGGATTAAGAAAAAGATGATATTAAAACAAATTTGGGAAGAGTCTAAGGTTTCTAGATTTTCAGATTTGCCATTGTCTAAATTATTAACAACTAACCATTAATTAGCTCTACATGAAAATCGAAAGAGGGATGAAAATGATCTGTGAAATGTGTTTACTTCTGCTTTAATCTTTACTATTTTTTTGTTACCTCATTCCCTCCTTTAACCACCTCAGGGTTACCTGTTTGAATGTAGAATAATGTTATTTTCCTCTTTGGTGCCAGTGATTAAATCTGGGGCATAAAACATGCAAGGCAAATGCTCTATCATTGAATACATCCCCATTCCTGGAATAATGCTTCCTATCAAAATATGAAACCATCTTCTTTATTATTCCATATCATCTGCAAATGATGCACTTTAGTTCAGGTAGTAGGATCATGTTAACCTAAGGACTAATGCTTCAAAATACATATTTTAAAGGAAAGTGTACTTTAGTCATGAAAAAAAATCAATATAACTTGCGTTTTCTATTTTTGTCAGTGCTTAAGTATATGTTGGGTATATTTCTGATACAAATTGAAGGTCTCTTTTAACTCCAGACTACCCTTTTACTAAACCTAACAAGTTAAGGTACACAAAAGCTGTTTTTAAAAAAATGTTTCAGCTTGAATTCAGAAATGGTAAAGTTAAGTTCTAGCCATTTGGAGTCTTTCATGAAACACAAGTTGAATTAATCTTGACACTAAAAGGAGGTAGATAACACTTAATAAAGTACATGGAGATCAGGTGTCAAATATGTCAAATATGTCCTATGTGAAATGCTCCCCTGAATCTATATATCACAAGCTGACTGTGTGAAGCAAATGTGCAACAGAAATTGTGTCTGCTTAAATGACTCACACCTATTGTATTATACCCCTAGTCTTTTGCTGGTTCTCAGAGAATTCTTATCTTAGACATGTTAAGTACTTCTTACCGATAACAACTGCTATGGCCCCTAGTGCTAATCCCAAAACCAGGATTAGAGGTGCAACGAATAATTTTCCAGCTGGAAGAAAAAAAAGGCAAAATAAATTAGAGTCTAAAATGCAATCAACCAAACAATTTCAGCAATGCTTTTCTGGGGTCTCCCAAGCAGTCCTTAAGAGGTCCAGAGACTCCACCCAGGGACTCTTGGCCAACCAGGCCAGTGCTCAGAGGGCCTCCAGGCCTGAACCCAGCAATGCTCTGGGGACCACATGATATCAGGGGCAAAAGAGGGGTTGGCTGCATAGTCCCTCACAATGCTTTTCGAGACCACTGGTTATCTTTAGAAGAAATAAGATTAAAATATGCCTGCATTTCTCTAAGGAAAGGTATAAGGTTTAAAACAAATAGATATATGTAACTAGTAATATCACTAAAGTTACTCAGAGCCTTAGTAAAACAAAACGAAGTGAATCATTCAACATTTTTGTTCGTTTGTATTTGTGAGACCATGTGGTGCTGAGAAGGCAATTTGGGGCACCCACATATATATAGTGAACGATTTATATAATTTTATTTTATTTTCCATTTTTTATAATTTTATTTATTAAATCACCATGAGAACAGTTGCAAAGCTTTCAGGTTCAAGACTCGGTCATACAATGAAACACCCATACCTTCACCAGTGCCCACTATCCACCACCAAAATCCCCAGTAAATTCCCATCCCACACCCTCCCCCTATCTGTGGGGCAGATGAATTCCAAATTACTCTCTCTATACTTTGATTACATTCAAAATTTCGACACCACACCCAACATTATTATTTGGGATTTTATACCAACACTCAGATCTGCCGAAAAGGCAACAGTAGACAATTTGTTTTCTATTGCTGGTTATGAATAACGTATGATGTCGTGTGGCTGCAGTAGTGGCCACGCGATTTTGAAATTCTGAAATTTTAACACTTAAAACTGGAGGGATTTCTTGCCAAAACCTGCTGGGTTCCGAGGTTTGTTCCTGAGTCTTTGGGATCATGGTCATTAAGCAGCTTGATTAAGAGCCAGAGAGGCCGTTCGTGGGCGGCAATTTGTGGTCTCGTTGGGGAGGGGAGGAGAGGAAAGGGCTGGCTCCACCCCATCCCGTGAGGCCCCGCACTGTCTCATCACTGTGGGCCCAAACCTGACTGTTCAATGGCCTCTGAAAGATGGCGGCCACTGAACCGCCAAGGGGGAGCAGGTGGAGGGACAGCACCCTTTCCCCCCTGGGGTGGCCCGACAACAGTAACCTACTGCGCAGTATAAACACATTTCTGCCAAAAGCCGCTGGGTTTCAAGATTTGTTTCTGAGTCTCTGGGATCATGGCCATTAAGCAGCCTGATCAGGAGCCAGAGAGGCCGTTCGTGGGTGATGACTTGGGGTGTCGTTAGGGTGGGGAGGACAGGACCAGCTCCACCCCCATCCCGTGAGGCCCAACAATTTTCGTCACTGCGGGCCCAAGCCTGACTGTCCAATGGCCTCTGGAGGATGATGGCCACCAAGCCGCCAAGGGGGAGCAGGCAGAGTGACAAAACCCTTTCCTCCCTGGGGTGGCCTGGTGACAGTAATGTACTGTGGAGTCCAGATGCATTTCTGCCAAAAGCCACTGGGTTTCGAGATTTGTTTCTGAGTCTCTGGGATCATTAAGCAGCTTGATCAGGAGCCAGAGAGGCCGTTCGTGGGTGATGACTTGGGGTGTTGTTGGGATGGGGAAAACAGGACCAGCTCCACCCCTATCCCGTGAGGCCCAACAATTTTCGTCACTGCGGGCGCAAGCCTGACTGTCCAATGGCCTCTGGAGGATGATGGCCACCAAGCCGCCAAGGGGGAGCAGGCGGAGTAACAACACCCTTTCCTCCCTGGGGTAGCCTGGCGACAGTAACATACTGTGGGGTCCAGACGCATTTCTGCCAAAAGCCACTGGGTCTCGAGATTTGTTTCTGAGTCTCTGGGATCATGGCCATTAAGCAGCTTGATCAGGAGTCGGAGAGGCCATTCGTGAGCGGCGACTTGGGATCTCTTTGGGTTGGGGAGGACAGGACAGGCTTCACCCCCATCCTGTAAGGCCCCGTCTGTCTTGTCACTGAGGGCCTGAACCTGACTGTTCAATGGCCTCTGGAAGATGGTGGCCACCGAGCTGCCTAGGGGGAGCAGGCGGAGGGACAGCACCCCTTCCCTCCCTTGGGGTGGCCCAATGACAGTAACCTACTGCACAGTCCAGACGTGTTTCTGCCAGAAGCCGCTGGGTTTTGAGTTTTGTTTCTGAGTCTCTGGGATCATGGTGGTTAAGTAGCTTGAGCAGGAGCCAGACAGGCCATTCACTGGCAGTGACTCGGGGTCTCGTATACCCCAAAATTGCTGCTGTGCCTTTGGCCAGACCCCAAAAACTTGGGGCAAACTTTATCAAGAAAGTAAACGGCTAAAAGTTAGGTATGTGGGAGACACACCCACAAACCACCTCCAGCTCAGCTATATAATTGGAGGCATGGCCTCTTTGAACTGCTTAACGGCCATGATCCCAGGGACTCGGAAACAAATCTCAAAACCCAACAGCTTTTGGCACAAATGTATCTGGTCCCTGCAGTAGGCTACTGACGCTGGGCCACCCCAGGTGGGAATAGGTTTTGTGCCTTGGCCTGTTCCCCCTGGCGGCCCGGTGGCCGTCATCTTCCAGAGGCCACTGGACAGTCAGGTTTGGGCCCACAGTGACAAGATACGTGGGGCCTCACGGGATGGGGGTGGAGCCAGCCCTTTCTTCCCTGTCTCAACGAGACCCCGAGTCGCTGCCCACAAATGGCCTCTCTGGCTCCTGATCAAGCTGCTTAATGGCCATGATCCTAGAGACTGAGAAACAGATCTTGAAACCCAGCAGCTTTTGGCAGAAATGCATCCAGATCACATAGTAGGTTACTGTTGTCGGGCCACCCCAGGGAGGAAAGGGTGTTGTCCCTCCGCCTGCTCCCCCTAGGTGGCTTGGTGGCCACCATCTTCCAGAGGCCATTGGACAGTTAGCTTTGGGCCTGCAGTGACAAGACATGCGGGGCCTCACAGGATCGGGGCAGAGCCAGCCCTTTCTCCCCGATTTAAAAGTCCCTTATAAAAGTCCTTTGGACTCTCTCTCAGACCCTTATTTAACTTTATTTTTTCTTTTTTTATTTTGGGCTATACCCAGTGGTGCTCCAGGCTTGCTTCTGGCTCTGTGCTCACTCCTAGAAGCACTTCTGGGACCATGTAGGATGCTGGGGATCAAACCAGGGTCAACCATGCAAGGAACGGATCTTAACCCCTGTCTTCTCTCTCCTTCCAAACAACTTTTATAAATAAAAAAAATTCCAAGGCAAGTGGCAACACCTAAGATTATTTAAAAAAGAAGAGAGGAAGAAATACCTTGGCACAAAATGGCACAAAAGTAAAGAATTAAAAGTGCTGAAAATATAAAGGGCTTGTGTCTTTATTATAATATATAGCATAACAAGCAACTAAGTAGAGAACATCATTAAAATCAATCTTGAAAATATTTCATTAGAGCTTAGTAGGAATATTTATAGAGATCATATAAAATTTTGGAAAACGATAGACCTGGTTTCCATATGCTAAAGTAAATTTTTAAAATTCAATCTGTTAGAGTGAATTTAAAATTGTTATATCTTTTTCTTTTTAGAGAAGTAAAAGATATTTTTCACCTTTTAGAATCAACTTGTTCTATCAGCTACTATATGATTCCAAAAAAGGAGTGATTTAAAACAGCAGTGATGTGATAGCAGATTAAAGAAAGATATAAAATTACTTAAGAAAGACCAGAGAGCTAGTACAGGGGTAAAGAGCTGAACTTGCATGTGGCTGACACCAGGTTTGATCCTTGGCAGTACATACGGCACTGTGAGAATCACAAGGAATGACCCCTGAACACAGAGCCAGGAGGAACACCTGAGAATAGTTGGTGCGGATCAATCTTTCCCCCTAAATTACCTCAAATATCTGCAAAAGGGAAGAAAGGTGGGAGATGTTAAAAATAAATGAAGAGACATTAAATGAAGTGCCCAAGAAAGAAATAAAGGAGTCCTGTGTGATATAAAAGGGTACATTGCAGAGGAGTATGGGGCTTTCAGAAGAAGAAACACTGGGTCATAAGGACACTGATCACACCAAGAGGCCGGGCAGGAATCTGTTTTCACGACTGCATGTCCTATTGAACATGACAGAAGACGGGGAATAAAAAAGTCAATTCATAAAAGAGCTTGTACTAGCTATTTAAACTTGAGCTTTCATATAATGAGGCCATTTAGTATTCATTCCATTAATATTTAGCTAGTAAGATTATAGTGATTAACTATACAATAGTTACCATACAATAGCCATTAACAGTAAAAATTACATACAGTGACTTATCAACTATATTGATACAGTGGTACTTTGGAGTGGTGGCATACCTGGATTCCTATTTTTGTACATATTTTGTACATATCCATGAATAAAAAGTACATATGTTCAAAGGCCTGTTCCTATCTTATCAGTACAAAACTAAAGGTGATATTCCTCCTCTTGTCAAAGAAGCTTATAATAGAGATTCAGAAGTGTAAAACACTAAAAAACTATGCATTTCTGCAGCTGAATTAATCATTTGGCTTTTGTTTGGGGCCACACCTAATGTGTTCAGAGGCTACTCCTGGTCCTGTGCTCAGGGGACCACATGTGGACCAGGATCAAACCAGTAAGCCGGAAGTGTCTGCTTGCAAGGCAAGTGCCCTACCTCCTATATGATCTTTCTGATCCAGTGATTTAGTTTTTGAATAAAATCTGCTTACTTGTATAAGCACTGTCCTGTGACCAAATTCCAATTTTTCATTTCAAACTCAAATCCAAAGAAAATATCTTCCTCTTGTAAAGGGTCTCAACAGAACACCTGGTAACTATTCAAAACGACTATGACTTCTACATTATCAGGCTCTACTATCACTGCTTACTTCTCAGGGGAGACTCCTGTAAATCATGTGGATACTTACCACAGACTGACCCTCGCACTAATCTCCTTAGATGAGGTCTCTCTGGGAGGTAGCGATATTTGCATCCAAATATACTGAGGTTTGATGTGTGGTCTCCAAAGAAACGGAGCTGGCGATACCTCTCCCCACATCGATAACAAAAATTAGTGTTACACTGTGAACATGTCATATGGTCACATCCTTCAGTTCTCTGGATGTGGATCTGGTGAAGCAACAAAGAAAGAAAGTAAAGGTTATTAAATATTTTGAAAGCAAAATCTGTCAAGTGTTGTAAAATACTTTATTTTCTCTACATTAAATGTCTTACATCAAATTCCCGACTCCATCAAAGCATCCATAATTACATTCTCTAAAATAATATCTGTGTCTGTCAAATATTTCAAGTGTGCAAAGCTCATTAACATTTCGGGTACTAAAAACTGGCTGATTTTGAAAAATACATGAACAAACACATCCCCAAGAAAACTCACTTAACATTCTAGATATAGACCTAATTTAATGGTAAGAAGATATTTCAAATACTGTGAGCTTATTTTTTTATGCTATGTCATAAGGTAATAAAGCACAAGCATGATGAATCATAATAGGCTATTATAAGAAGGAAAAATTATTCAAAAAACTTTTAATCAATAAGTATCAAGGAATAGAACTATGTCTTGGAAAAGGAAATATTTATCAGCTATATTTGAAATATTGTTTAAGTTTCCAAATCTAATCTACTTTGCAAATAAGCCTGTAGGACTGTTTGTACAATGTAGTCATTCAACTAAGCACTTTCCTCATACAGTTACAGTTGGGCTGCATGTAAATACAGCCTTACTCATAAAGTCATACAATTTTATTCTTGAATAGTTTATCATACACCCAATTTAGTAGTCACTCAGCTACACAACCACTTAATAATCCATAAGTTACTCTGGTATATTTGAAGCTTGACTCCAAATGCTCAACAACATTGGAGCCACCTCCCATGTAAGTGTGTGCACACTTTGTCAGCTTAAAAAAATCATGAAAGAAAATAACATTTTTCCATAATAAAAGGATATCCACATGTAGATTAAAAAGTTTTCCCATTCCATTATGGATGAGCATTCAGTATTCATAGCACATCTAATTCACAATCAATCACAACCATCCTGTTATTCGTCGATTGTTGAGCAGGCCCCAGTAACATCTCCTTCGTCCTAGCCCTGAGATTTTTTAAAAGTGCCATATTCAAGGCTCTTTCAGAGTTAGGAGAATGAGATCCTTCATTGTTACTGGTATCTGGCATATTGGGTACGCCACGGGGAGTTTACCAGACTCTGCCGTGTGGGCAGGTTACATTTGGTAGCCTGCCAGTTTGTCCAAAGTAGGAATGAGATGATAAGATGTCTATATCTTAAAACCCGGGAGCTGGGTTTTATAGTCTCTGAGTCTTGGCCGTTGATGGGATTACACAGCGCCAGGGGGCCAGTTGGTGGGTGTGACCCCCCCCCCCAGCCTACTGGAATTTGGAAAATCTGGGTGGAGGATGCCCAGCCCCGATCCGAGTAGGCTTGGAGATCTTGGCCCCAGGACCCGCGTGGCTTTGTTCCTCTACCGGTACCTTCATGTGTGCATAGAGTGGTCTCAGCATGGTGGTGGCTGGTTCTGGAGGTCTTTGGCTGCCGGAACCCTGGTCGGGGCGGGGAGGAAAACTCAACCCGCTCCCCTCCAAGGGGCCCCGGCGAGGACAGCCAGGCGCGGGGGCAGGAGACTGCGCTGTTCTCTTCCGGGAGCTGGGTTTTATAGTCTCCTGCCCCCACACCTGGCTGTCCTCGCCGGGGACAGTCTCTGTTCTCCCAGAGTGGAAGCTCGACCACCAATTGGAACTAAGTCACAGTTCCGTTTTAAAGTGGAACCAGCACATACTTCACTGAGATACAGAATCTGGGCCCTCCCAACATAGGTGCTTGTGAAGTACCAGATAGGAGAAACAGGAACTCATCCACAATCCACACTGATGATTCAAGACAAAAAGCCTGGGGAAACTCCCAAACAACAGATCTAGGGAAGCAACCTGAAAATCACTTCAATCCTTTTTTTTTGGGGGGGTCACAACTGGTGATGTACAGGGGTTATTCCTGGCTCTGCACTCAGGAATTCCTCCTGGCGGTACTCAGGGGACCATATGAGATGCTGGGAATAGAACCCAGGTCGGCCGTATGGAAGGCAAATGCCTTACCTGCTGTGCTATCGCTCCAACTCCAATCACTTCAATCTTTGGCACAACCTGAGTCAGAGATGGTTCTGGTGGCCCCGAGTACTATTACCACCACAAGCATTGCCCAGCATGGCCCTGGTGACCTCCTTAACTACAAAGTATGGCAGCAACAACTAAAACAACAAGGTGTGTGTGTGTGTGTGTGTCTGTGTGTGTGTGTGTGAATGTGTGCATGTATGTGAGTGTATGTGTTCATAAAACACCCACTATCACAACTGACAGACCAACCACACATAAAATCAATAAGAGAACAATAATCTAAAATAAGTTAAACAATATGGGGTTACCAGATATTTATAGGACTCTCCAACCAGACAAGCTGAGAATACATTATTTTCTAGTACATTTGAAAGGGCCATGCATTTGAAATATTCTCCAGGATAGACCACAATTCACAATACATGTCAATAAAAGAAATATCAAGAAAATCACTGTCCTCCTGCTGTTCTTCGATTTGTGCAAGTCAGCCCAGAAACTAATAAATATATTAGGCGAATAAGAAAATCAAAGAAAACCAATGAGAATGAAAGCTCATGATATTAAAACATATGGGATGCAGAAAAAGCAGTGTTCAGAGGAAAGTTTACAGCAATTCAGGTTTAAAAGGGATCATAAACAAGCTCAAATAAGTAAATCGGAGCTATAACTAAAGGAATGAGGAAGAGCACAATGAAATCTAAAGAATAAGGAAGGAAATAGTAAAATTTGAGAAGAAATAAAAGAAACACAAGTGAAAAAAGAGAACTCAAATAGTCAATGAAACCAAGGGCTGGTTCTTTGAAAGGATAAATAAAACCTGACAAGACCCTTGGCCAGTTTCACTTAAGAAAGAAAGAGTGAAAATCCTAATTCACATGAGAAGTGAAAGGGAAGAAATTATAACAGATACCACAGAAATTATTAAAGGACTATTAAAAGTAATTTTATGCTACTAAATTGGTGAATCATAAAATAATGATAAATTCTTAGACTCTTATGCACTCTAAGACTAAATCAGGAGAAAGAGAAAACACTAACAGACAAAGCTCAAGAAAGGAAAAATTAAACAAAAGTTACCAAAACAAAAGTCCAGGCCCAGATAGTTTTAGTAATGAGTTTTTATTAAACCACCAAAAAAGACTTATTGCTCATCCATCTCAAGCTCTTCAAAAAACTTGAAGATAATTCTCCCCACCACATCTTTGATGCTAATAATACCTTAACAGTAAAAGTAGACACGAATATGACAAAACAGAAACTACAGAACAGCATGCCTTATGAATTTAGGTGAAAATATACTCAACAAAATCTTAGCAGAGAAATTCAAATATCAGAAATATTATCATGATGAGTGACATTTACTTCAGGACAGAGATGGCTCAATATATTGCAAATACATTATTATAATACAACACAGCACCTAAAGGAAACATCAAAATCATATGCCCTATAGCAAAGAAATCTTCTGATGTGGCTCAACTTTCTTAAATTGGGATAGAAGGAATATATTTCAATATAGTTAAAGACATATGCAACAAACCCATAGTTAACATCACAGTCAATGGCAAAAAACTGAAAACTTTTCCTTATTATAGAAAATTTCATATATATTTTCTTATTGTTTTGTGACTAATTTATGATTGAAATTCTTTGAAGAAAAGACTAGGGTACTATGTTCAATTTTTATTCCCTGGGGTAGAGCTCTACTATAAACAAGTCCCTGACTTTCTTCCTTTTACTTTACTTTATTTCCCTTGAGTCAAAGGAAATAGAATTCATGGAGAAGGGACCAGTATGATGATAATAGTTGGAAAGGATCACTCTGGACAAAAACTGAGTGTGAAAAGTAGGTAAAAGAATATATATGATAAACTTTCTGTCTCTATATTGCAAACTATAATACCCAAAGGGGGGAAGGGGGGGAGAGAGAGAGAGAGAGAGAGAGAGAGAGAGAGAGAGAGAGAGACAGAGAAGAAAAGTGCCAGCATACAGCACAGCGGTGGGGGGAGGAATGGAAGGGATCTTGGGGGGACATTGGTGTTGGGAAATGTACATTGGTGACAGGACTGGATGTTGGAACATTATTGATATATTATTGAAACATAATCATGAACAACTTTGTCACTGTGTATCTTCTGATGATTCAGTTAAAAAATATTCAGATGCCTGTTTTCTTCCCCTTGGGGCAAGGGGGTGACACCTGCCTATATTCAAGCCTTACTCATGGTTCCCTGCTCAGGGATTACTCCTGGCTGTACCCAGGGGACCATCTAGGGTGCTGACTATCAAACTTGGTCTGCAGCACACTAGGCCAGTGCTCTACCTGCAGTAGTATTATCTCCCCAGCCCTAAGATACCTGTTTCTATTTCTTTCATATTTATCTTCACTGCTTCCCCTCTGTGACTATATACAGTCTGGCCAGTGTATCCTAATAAATTCTTCCTTTAATTCTGCATGACCTTCTTAGCCAAGCATTACCTGCACACTTTTCTGGTTTTAGCAAGCTACTTAATCTAAACTCATTATTTCCTTACTCCTATCTCAATTTCCCTTCAGTTTACTGCAACCCATAGTATCAAAAACATCCAGAGGAAGCTGTGGTCTCCAGGAGTTTTCCGTTTTTAACACTGATACATTCTGACATGGCTCTTGTATTCAAGGAGCTAGCAGTTTAAGGGGTAAACATTAATCTATTGTATACAAAAATAGACATTCATCAGCTATAAGCAATGCCATGAAAGAAAATGGCAAAGTATGAAAAGAGGACCTAAGAGAGGAGGAGCTTAATTAGAACAGGTTACCGTATCCATGAAATGAGAAGCAATGCCTGGTGATGAGATACCAAAGGGTCTAGATCATTGATAATCCTGTTTATTTTATTAAAGGTGACAGCACAGATCCTGTCACAGAGCATGTTCTTAATAAATATTTATTGAAGTAACAAATGAGTATTATCCATGATCCTCTAGTTGTCAAA